ACTTTGCAGTCCAGGGCATTAACCCACTGAGCCACACCAGCATTCTGTGTTGGTCATAGAATCCTGCATTACTGCAGCCTGAGGCTTGAATTTTTTTTTTTTTTCAATTCCTTCAGTTAAGAGCTGCTGAGTGTGTTCTTCTCTTTAGGTGTTTAGATTCCAGGTGTTTGCACCTGTCATTATAATACTTGCCTTTGTCTTCTAAGTAAAACCAACAGGAAGGTAAATTTGCTGCTAGACTTATGCAAACTATTCTAAAGGAATGCAAGAGGCTTATTTTAGTTTTCTGGATCTCTGTTCTTTATTAGTATAGATAAACAGGACATGACCTACAATTAGGAAAATTTACAAGTCTTAAAACTCAGATTAAATTGATAATTTGACATGTATAATTTTACCTGTGAATGAAAATTAAATTTATTTCATAATTGTAGTTTTGTGTGTTTTTTAAGGTGAAGAAAATTACTAGATTTAAAGTCAAGGTTAATAATAGCAGTATAGTTTGCCCTCTAACTTTGAATTTTTCTTTCCTAAAAGTAATTTCATATCAAAGTGCATATGTGTGTGTGTATGCGAGTCTATGTAGTAGGAAAAGAAAGCAGAAGATAATGGCCTCAGTTTTTTTTAAAAGGAAAGACTTTCTTGAGTTCCTTTAGACACATGGGATCTACAATATCACTTTTTAGAAGGACAACAAGAAATTGTATTGATGCTAAATGACATGAGACACTATAGCATCTCGGAACCACTAGCTGCAAAGAAAATGCTTTTAAGCTAAGGTGTACCTTTCCTAAACTGCTTTCTCTAGTGTAGTTGACAATAGGAACTGAATAATAAAAGGACTTTTGTCAGGTAATCAGAAAGGCTAACAGAGATTTTCTCAAATCCAGGCATCTCCCAAAGGAGTCCAAACAGATGACAGAAATTGAATGAAGAGCACCCACAAGACAATACCAGTGGTGTGGGCCTCCATGCCTTCCAGAAAACAATGCCATCAACTCTGAAGCAAAAATCACATATTACTCAATAATACATCAAACATTCTCTTAAAAACATAACTAATTATTCCATGTACATAAGAGGCAAGAGGGAGAATGTTTCCTTACCCTTTCCAAAGCTAAGCGAAAATATAAAGTCGAGTTTGTCTTGACACTCTTCCAACCTCCTATTTTTTATATCTCCTCTCTTTCTGGCTACCGTCTTCGCGGTTCTGCCAACCTCCTCCTGCTCCTCAGTTCTAATATTTGGCTCCTATTTCCTTTCCAAGTCAAAGTAGCCCATTGCCTTTCTGTGAGAATCCTTGCAAGGTATTGAGGCAACTGCTTAAGCTGCTGAGAAAACTAGCTTACATTATGTTGAGAATTACTGTGAGTTTCATCCCCTTTTAGGTATATTTATAGATTATTATATATTTATTATAAAATATAGCCATAATAAATAAACTTTTGGGGAAAAAGAAGTGGCAGGGCAAAGGTGGGGGTTTGAAGGAACGCTAATGTTAGCACCCTAACACATAGCACAACTATCTCTTTTTTCCCATTATCTTGATGTGCCTCTTTCCAATGATGTCATGAATGCATGTTTTACTTGTTATTCTCATGCGCCACATAAAATGTTTACTTTTTTGAATGGAAACCTCACCATCATATTTTCAGATGCTGCTAAGTCTTCACAATCATTGCTTTAAATATTTATATAATATCTCATCAAGTTAGGCAAACTAGTCTAGTTTAATAACACTTCTCTGTTACAAGTAACACTTCAAGGTATAATGTAATACCGTTTTCTCCCATAATTTGAGCTATGTCTTTAGACTAGGTTCCAAAAGTGGGCTGACTGGATTAAAAGAGACTTGTGTATATTATGTAAACAATATGCCCACTGCCATCTAGCCAATCCTGACTCATATTAATAACTCTGCATAGAATTTCCGAGAATGTAAATCTTTGAGGGAGCAGAAAGCCACATCTTTCTCTTAGGAAGTAGCTGGTGAGTTCGAACTGCCGAACTTGTGATTAACAGCCCAACACAAAATCCACAGCACCACCAGGGTATATATATATTGGGAGCATGGTGGTTCTGTAGGATAAGCAATGGACTATGATCCACAAGGTTGACTACTGGAGCCCATCAGCCACTATGTGAGAGAAAAATAAAACTTTCTGCTTCCTCAAAGATTTACAGTCTTGGAAAACCTATACAGGGTCGCTGTGAGTCGGAACTATCTTGATAGTGCTTAACAACATTAAATATATATGCCATAAGTATAATGGATATTTATATATATGAAGAACATACTTATTAACAAATCAAAGTTGGGATGATATAAAAACTAAAATAGAAGAGCTCCTAATTGATGCTTGGGGCTGGGGGAGAGTGTTTTGGAGCAGAAGAACTACAGTCTGATCTCTAATGACAACTCCCTAGGTTTTTGTTGTTTTATTTCCAGCTTTGTATCTTCCATCTAGTTTGAAACTCATATCTTCCATTTATTTTGAAACACCAGATCCTTTGAAACTTGTTTTAAAACATTTTTTTAAAAGCAGTTTCCAAGGTAACAGCTAATAGGCCTGCCTACAAAACATTTCAACTGCCATTCTCTGTCTTTAACTGTTGATATTACAAGTGTTAGTTCTTATAAATTTAAAATGGACTTTTAAGAAAAACATTTACCAATCTGATCTCTTATTTTAATATTTAGGATTGTTCGGATAAATTTGAGGATTTACCTGTGACCTCGTATAAACACTTTGAAAAAATAAAACCAAGAGCAAGACTTTTAGGAAAGAACCCAGATGATAGCCAAAATCAGTCAAGATACTCTGCAAGACCGTACACTGCTCCAGACACTAACAAGCGACGACGCAAAGGTCACAGTGGAAGGTGCCGAAGTCCTCGGCTGGTTTCAGCAGGCTTAGTTCATATAAATGATACAATCTCAAATTATGAAATGCATAAAATACAGCAAAAAAAGCAATTAAAAGAGAATCTTGAAGAGTGTTCACTCATTTGTGATACTATACAAATGTTAGACACTTCAGAATGATATGTGAGGTCCACAGTCATTAAGAATATCATTTCTTCCACTCACAAAATGGTTTGAAGATCTGTCCTTTTGTGTGACAGATATCAGCAACAAAATTTCATCTTGTTAGAACCATTTTGTTTTTATTAAAATGAAAAATAAGCACTTTTGATGTAAATGTGTTTTTGTTTATGAGACCTTAGGGAATAAACCCAGATCTAGAGATTCAGTTTCTGCTCACTAGTAAAGATTTGTTTCAGAGCTCTTACCTTTTGTTCACTATATTTCAGTATATTTGGACTTTCTAAACCCTTATTATGCTCAAAATTATCTTTGTATACCCAGCTTTCAGGTTTTCTATTTGTAGTTTAGGCTTTTGCTGAGTATACTTTGACTCTTTAGCTCTTGCTATGTTTTTAGATACCATGGATTCACTTCTGCCTCATTGTGACCCTTTGTACAACAGAACAAAACACTACCTAGTCCTGTGCTATTTTCACAATTGCTCGGTGTTCAACCATTGTGTTAATCCATCTTGTTGAGGGTCTTCCTTATCAATCATAGTCCAAACTGTTTGGACCAGTAAACCTTCCCATTGCTTTTAGCATCATCTGATATTGCAACTTTTTACACCATCAATAAAGATAACAAAGAATAGATATCTAATTCATGAGACAGCCTCTACACTGGAGGGGCTTTGCTCAATTACCACATAACTGAAAAGGGACCTCTTTAATAAAACCAAACACAAGAAACTTCAAAAAATAAATCAACATAGGATTTAAATCAGAGATTCCCAAGAATTGTTTCTGTTTATATCAAGTACTATATTTCGGTCTTTGGGTCTTGTTGAACTTTGCTTTACTTTTTTTTTCTGCTGATATGGCAGCTTTTATTTTAGCCCTTAGAGAGCAAAGTGGGAATGCATTTTGAAAAGATAAAAGATAATTTGACCTATTTATTACATGGTT